ACCGTACCTCCTCTACAATTCTTTGAATAATAACATCCTTATATTTGAGTTGTTGTCAGATAGAAGACACATACCAAGTACTTTCGACAATTTCAAATTGTCATCTTCAGGGCGTAATTTTCCCATACATAGGCAAACACTAAGACGAAATATGTGTAGTGTATACCGAAAGATGTTTTTTTTTAATTATGCTATTTATTAATAGTTGAATATATGATTTTGAGCGTGCAATGTCGCGACACTAGAGTTCTTGCTCAAATCGATCAAGTGAGAATTTTTTTGAATTTTGAAAATATATAAATCCATGAAATTTTCTTGTTATATGTATATATCTGTTAAAGTGAAATGGAGTTAGTATAATGCAATTAGCAGAGTAAAAGTGTCTTAGTAGCTTTCCACAGAATTTAAGATTCTGATTATTACTGTGCTGCGTATTTGATGTCGTAAGTATATTAAAGTGTGCAGCTTATATTTTATATCATAAATTCACCTACACTCGCATGCACTCTTCCAGCTATAAATAGGAGCATATAGTCTTGATGGTAACTCTGAATTCAAACCCTGATCTCCATGTCGGGGGTTGTGCAGTAGGCTAAAACCTACTCACTTAAAAAAAAAAAAAAAAACTGGCTTGTTACAGAAACCGCAACGATATCTTGCGAATGTTCCTCAAGGAATTTAAAAGGCATAATATATATATATATATATATATATATATATATATATATATATATATATTCAAACTACTGTCCTCATCTTTGTTGTTGTTATCACAACGTTTCGGCCGTTGTACCCTCTAACCTTCCAATGATGATGATGATGATGATATATGAACACTACCGATCTTTCAAAAGTATTAGTAGAAACCGGTAATAGAAGAATCGATAAAGACTGTATTGATAACGGCTTAATAAAGGTTCGTGGGAAAAGCATCACAGATACTGCCTCATTCACTGGAGAAAAAGATCATCATCATCATCATCATCATCATCATCATCATCATCGTCCCTTGACTTTTGTAATCGTAGTGGGGAACCGAATGCAGAAGCCACACGAAATCTTTTCCAAAACGGTCTATCAACGGCAGCCATCAACAATTCTGGTACAGTCATACCTGTCCATTGTTTGACATTGTCCAACCAGTTTTTGCGTTGCCGACCTCTCCTATGTCCACCTTCAACGGTGTCTTGCATGATGGCCTTGCACAGGCTGCCATGCCTTGTAATGTGTCCAAACCACGCCATTTTTCTCCGTTTGACAGTGGCGAGAAGAGGTTTCTGGTGTCCCAAAAAAAAAAAAAAAAAATCAGGGGCGTCTAAACAATGTCTAAATGCTTAAAATTAAAATGTTTAAATAGGCGTACCATTCAGAAGTCCAAACGTGCCGCATGTCTTGTTCTAAATCATCATCACCATTATCATCACCATCATCATCCCCTTGACTTTTGTAATCGTAGGGTGGATCCGGATGCTGAAGCGACATCAACGTTATTCCACGACGGTCTATCAACGGCAGCCGTCAGCAATTCTGAATATAAATAATGTAAATAATAACTTCTCATCCCAGAAATCCAGACGGTCTTTTTCGATTATCTGCATTTCGGTTTTCCGGACATGCATTATCCAGACTTCGATTATCCGGAAGAAGAATGAATAGAAAAATTTAAATTATCCGAACATTTTTTTAAAAATTTTCCTAAAAAAAACCCCAACTAATTCTAATATGAAATCTCAGATAAGCGTATAGAAAGCCACACTCTTCAACGTTTGGTAAAAACTGACAAATGTTGGTTGCGCCGTCAATCAAGAAGCGACCCTTACAAATAAATACATCTAATTTAAACCAACTCCGAGAGCTGGTGACAGTTAAAGGCGAAGCTAGGCGGAAACAAACACAAAATGAAGTAGTTCTCGTTCTCTCTCTCTCTCTCTCTCTGTATATATATATATATATATATATATATATATATATATATATATAAAAATGTATAAAACCTTGAGCAAAGCGTTTGAAAATGTGATTTTATAATACAAATGTTGAATTTCTTCCAGAAAATGACTTTTTTCTTAATTTCTTTTTCGATAATTTAGGTCGTCAGTTATCCGGAATTTTAATTTACCCAGAATTTTGAATTACCGGAATATTGAATTAACCGAACATAGTTTTTCAACCTCTGTCCTAAGATCTACGGAGAACCGAGCAAATACCCTATGTTTGTTTAACGGCATATCCTTATGGGTCAATTAATGCCAAAATCTAATTTTCTTTGGATCTTGGATATTTTTTTTTTATTTACAAAAATTTATTGGCGGTAATTTTTTTTTTTTTTCCAAAATGTATTACTGGTATTTTTTTTTTTTATTATTATGAAATATATTTTTATACTTTCAAAGATTTTTTATCGTAGTTTTTGGGGTTCCCTATTTTTTCATAGCTAGGACCCTAAGTGCTACCTCCTCAGGTTAGAGTGGACCGGGTAACAGCAGCAATTAAGAGGTGGTCACTCGCTTCTCAAAACCAATCAGAGGTCTTGCTGCTGGATGTAGTTTATCGTCATGCCCATGCCCGTGGAAGTACTCTATTCATTCGGACTTTTACTAAGATCCACAACATTAATATTTATGGCGTGTTTGAATTTGAAACCATTTTTATCCTGACAGCTTTTCACTATCTGCCCTGCGAGTCGGAGAGTGTTGTCTTCTGACAAAAAATATTTTCCCCTTCTTATGTTTAGAGCTCTGTATTTCAGCACATGAACTCTTTCAAAGCCTTCTGGGAAGACTTGCCCTTATTATCTCTCCACATTCGAGCAATGATGGAGACTCCAGACACCGCAAGTTTATCATAGTTCCCTAGTGGATAAACTTCGACGCGACCTTGGACGTCCCCACTTTATGGCCATCGAAGTTCGATACGCTTAAAGTAACGCCGAATGAAAAACAGCATCTCAGATTCGCCACCACCCCTAGAGGCCGCACCAAAATTATTCTCCTGGGGTCATTTGCCAGTGGTTGAGGGTCCATGAATCAAGTCAGCAGAGTCTGAACATTTACACTGTTTGGCAGTGGCCGTGTAAGTTTCCTGGTACCCCAAAGTTGTCTTTCCTGCCCCAAGTTTTAACAAAATCGCTTTGCCACCTGCTAAGCTCTTCTGTATTGTACTGCGCTACAACCGTATCGGTCGGACTGTCAAAGTGGTACCTAGATGGTACCCACGTCTGTTGTCGATGGCGGGGCGTTAGGGTGAGAGGCGAATGATATTTTAAAGAAAAAGTCTGGAAGCGATTAGGCTAATGTTAAAAAGATGATGCTATGTTTGTCTGTTTTCTATCTATCTATCTATCTATCTATCTATCTCAAGTCGTTCATCAAGTCGTTCATTATCTATCAATCTATAATGTGTGTAAATGCATGTGTGTGGATAGTATATCTATCTATCTATCTATCTATCTATCTATCTATCTATCTATCTCAAGTCGTTCATCAAGTTGTTCATTATCTATCAATCTATAATGTGTGTGAATGCATGTGTGGGGATAGTCTATCTATCTATCTATCTATCTATCTATCTATCTATATATATATATATATATATATATCTCAAGTCATTCATCAAGTCATTCATTATCTATCAATCTATAATGTGTATGAATGCATGTGTATGGATAGTATATCTATCTATCTATCTATCTATCTATCTATCTATCTATCTATCTATCTATCTATCTATCTATCTATTTATTTGGCATTGTGAATATTTATCTATGATTCATTTTATATTCGAGAAGATAATTTTTCTTGAATAAGATTTCTCAGGCCGGTAGGCAAAAATAAATAAATATACTGTTTAATAAATAAACTGAACATCTACTCAAATATGTTTATCCACTAAAAATAACAATTAAGTAATAAAATATAATGATGATGGAAGCGGATACTTCTCGTCTCATCAGACCAAACAATTTCAATATTTCTATCACAATATATATAATTCCTATCACACACACACACACACACACACACATATATATGTGTGTGTGTGCGTGCGCGCGCGTGTGTGTATGTGCGGTATTTAATGGAAAGTGCTCAATATCCGTGATAGAGCTAACATACGCGGGTTGCATGGAGAGTTGTTTGTGACCTTAGGTTTCACGCTTTCGGGATCTGAGCATATATAGACCTACTTTTGAACATATATACCTGTTTGTCTGATGATCGCAAAAGCGTGAAACCTAAGGTCACAAACAACTCTCCATGCAACCGCATATATATATATATATATATATATATATATATATATATATATATATATATACACGATTCAGATTCGAAACTGAACAGATATGGGTTTTTGAGAAAAAAAAACATTTTTAACCACTTAAACGGGCAGATGTGTTTAAAATAACAGTCAACATTTCGCTTAGAAATTATCTGAAATTACAAGAAGGATCGGCCAGTTTTCCGAGGCTCACCTGATTACCACTTATCAGAATCCTTCGGCAATCAGTTTATTTAAAAAAAACTTTCTATGTTTAATCTAAAATTATTTGACATTCGTTTGCTTAAGCAAATACCAATGAATTATTTATCACTTAGAAATACTATTAATTAATTAAGGATGAAAGACCTTTATAGAATTCTTAAAAGCTTTTAATTAGAATGAGAACAATGAGGGCAATGTATTTTGATAATTAATTGTTTACCTGCCAATTAATAGGATCAATCAGTCTAGCAAATCATCATCATTAGTAGACGGTTACCATTTTTAATATGGCAGACTCGATAAATTTTGTTATATACATTAGAAGAACGGGAAAAAAAAAGATAGACAGAACTAGCAGGAAAACTTTCTACTTGAAAAAGGAAAAGAAAGAAAGAAATAGAGAAAGAAAGAAAGAAAGAAGAAGTAAAAGAGGATGCAATAAAGAAAGAAATACAAGTGAAAGAATGAGGTGAAGTAGAAAGGTAAAAAGGCAGTAGAAGAAAAAGAACAAGAAAGAACTAGAAGAAAAAGTAATAGGTAGATGAATAAAGGAAAAGAAGAAGAAGAAGAAGAAGAAGAAGAAAAGAGTTGAAGAAGATGTTAAAAAAGAAAAAGAGGCGGAAGAAGAAAAAGAAAGAACTATAAGAAAGCAGAAAGAAAATAAGAAAGAAAGAAAGAAAGAAAGGAAGGAAGGAAGAAAGAAAGAAACAAACAAAAAAGTGCAAGAAGAAAAAACTGAGAAAGAAAGGAATTGAAGAGAAAGGAATAACTAGAAAAATAAAGGAAGAGAAGGAAAGACGGAAAGAAAAGAAGAAGAAGAAGAAGAAAAAGAAGAAGAAGAAGAAGATGATGAACTGTAAACAAATAAATATGTCGAAAGAGAAGGGAAAATGAAATGAGAGATGTAGAAAAGAAATAAACGAATAAAAGCGGACAGAAGAAGAAGAAGAAGAAGAAGAAGAAGAATATAAAAACAACAACACAAAAAATAAGGCACAAATACATGAAATTTTCATCAAGTTCGACGAATAATGAAGAAAGATCAGAAAGCCTTTCATATAAAGACATGAACAAATCGGTTCAAACAGGAGATTGGAGAAAAAATGACGCAAAAAAAAAACCAAAAAAAAAAAAAACAGTTACCATTTTTTTTCTTACAAGGAAACATGCGTGTTACAGAGAGAAATGGTATTTGAATGCTAATAGCCATTCCAGGCACTTCTCTTGGGAAGAAACAATACCAGCGATAAAATAACATAACCATAGCGCTGCTGCTGCTACTGCCGCTGTTGCTACTGATGATATTGCTACTGGCAATATTATGACTGAATAATAATAATAATAATTATTATTATTAAAAACTTTTAACTAATAAAATAACTAATAGTACCAGAGAAAATTTCACGGTTTTCCTATTTTAATTGTCTGATGTATAATAATATCACCGAAGTTAAGCAACGTCGAGGCTGTTCAGTACCTAGATGACTGACCGCTTGGGTGCCGTAAGCTTGCGTGTGGAAACGACTCGGAATTGGAACTCTGGGTGCTGAGTTTCAATTCCAGTCGAGTTCGTCATATTTCCTTACGTGAAAAAAAAGATAGGAATGGTTTGGAAAGTTAAGAATCCACTTCTTCTCCCTCAGCTATGGGTTAATTAGTAAGACTTGTATGAGTAAAGCATTATTATCTCTCCAAAATTCTCACAACCTAAAGATATTTTCTAGCTTTAAATAAGGTTAAAAAAGGTTGATAAGCCGTAAAAATAAAACAATCACTAAGAACCAACAGCGTCTCTGGTATGTCTTTTCCGTCTTTCCTCGCAATCAAAACGGAATAGTCCATTATTTATGAGGTATTGTCAGGATGTACCGTACGCGCTAAGAAACGAAAGAACATGTAGTGTCATAATAGGATAATACACTGTCTTACATTGTCTTATGATAGTACACTGTCTTACACTGTCTTATGATAATACCCTGTCTTACACTGTCTTATGATAATACACTGTCTTGAGAAGGTCCAAATAAAGCGTATTAACCAATCGCTTCAGGAGTTTTCGTTGCTTGGTGCTGCAAATACTCTGAGAAAGTTGCTCTTTATCTGAGGTTGATGGTAAGTTGTCACAATGTAAGATCTCCACTTGAAAGCGAAAGCCGCTCAAATGCAAAAGAAGCTGGCAAGTTTAGGGTAGGGAAAATGCACCTTACTAGTAACACACAAGGGATGGCTCGTCACTTCAGGTGCAATCTAAGTCACAGAAGAAAACTTAACCACGAAGACCAGCTAAAAATATATTAAGGTAATTGAATGCGAAATATGATGACGTGTGATGAAGTTCAGAGGACGATCAAGGAGGATAAGAAAAATGTTTGAAACAAAACGTAACGGCAGATAATAGGCAGTATCAATAATTCCTTATTTGGACAACAAAAGGAGATCAAAGAAGAAAAAGAAAAGATACGGAAGAACAAAAAGAAAAAAAATCAGCCTAAAAAAGAAAAAAAAAGGTAAAAGAAGGAAAGGATGAATGAAACGTGCAAAAAGAAACTGAGAAAGAAAAAGAAGTTGAATTAGAAGGAGAAAAGAAAAAAGGCACGAGAAAGAAAAAAAAAAGAAGAAAATTAAAGAAAATTAGAAATAAAAGGACTGAAAGAAATAGGCTTTTGAAAGAAAGACAAAAAAAAACGAAAAGTTAAATGAAAAGTACAAACAGAGATCGAGAAAGAAAAATATGAAAAAGAAGGAAAAAGTGAAAGAAATGTACAAAAAGAGCCTGAGAAAGAAAAAGAAGACAGAGGACTGGAAAGGACTGAAAGAAAAAGAAGAAAAAAACGAATTATGAGGAAGAAAAGAAAATGTAGGAAAAATAGAATTAAAAGGTCGAAAATGAAAAGAATCTGAGAATGAAAAGGAAAGAAAATAGAATTAAAAGAAAAAGAACGTGAGAAAGAAGAAAAATAGAATAAAAAACAAAAATGAAAAGAATTTGAGAAAGGAAAAAGGAATTAAAATTAGAAGAAAAAGCGCGACAAAGAAAATGAAGGAAAAGTTGAATTAAAAGAATGAAAATTAAAAGAATCTGAAAAAAAAGAAAAAGAAAGAAAATAGAATTAGAAGAAAAAGAACGTGAGAAAGAAAAAGAAGGAAAATAGAATTAAAAGAACGAAAATGAAAAGAATGTAAGAAAGGAAAAAGAAAAAGAAAAAGAAAAATAGAATTAAACGGACAAAAAGAAAAAGACACTGAGAAAAATCGATGGACCGGGAAACAAATGATCATGTGCCAAGATGTTCAGTCCAAGGTGATAGCGCACCACCATATAGAAAAAGAAATTAGAGGGGATTTTCTTTAAATGGACAAAATGAAAGGAACGATTAAAAGGAGAAGATGGCAACAAATGTAAAAAAAAAAAAAAAAAAAAAAAAAAAAAAGTAAAAAGAAAACTTACCACGGAGGATTTAAAAATCAGATAGAAAATATCGCAGTCACGGATATGGTTACGCAGAGAACAGTTCAAACAAGAAACATAATCCTTTATCCTGTGCTATAGCACAGAACAAATGAATCAAGACGACTTGCATCAAAGGGGAATCTTGAAAAACAGAAAATGTCATTTTTGTGGAGAAAAAGATGATAAATCACACCAAAAGTGAATGCGGAAAGCTGACTAAAAAACATGCGTATATATATATATATATATATATATATATACACTGTATATATATATATATATATATATATATATATATATATATATATATATATATATATATATATATATATATATATATATATATATATATATATATATATATATATATATACGGTGGTCCGAAAGACTTGTCACCTTAACATATTCTTCCAACCATAAGGAGCTCGTGTCAGTCATCCGAAAAAGAAAATTATATTATGTACAGGGAGAAGACTTTCGGATCATCCTGTGTGCATATATATATATATATATATATATATATATATATATATATATATATATATATATATATATAAAGTTCAAACGTTATTTTAAATGGATACTCATATTTGAAACATCTACCGGCCTGAATATTCGAGAAATCTTGTGAGAAAAATATGTGCCTTTAACAAGATTTCTTGGATATTCAGGCCGGTAGATGGAAATAAATAAATATACTGTTTAATAAATAAATAAAAACATCTTTAAATTCAAATGGCGTAATAGTCAGCACCTGAAGATTGCATTCTGCATGAAACTCCGAGTCGTACTTTCGGTGAGGGGATAATATATATATATATATATATATATATATATATATATATATATATATATATATAAAATACAGGTAATAGGTACGTTGGTATATAATCCAGGTGGACCCTAGTAATAACAGATATTAAAACTGATCTACAGAGCGCTCAATGCTTTCATTATTATAACAGTATTATAACAGAGCATATATATATATATATTGCTTTTTTACCGGAATATACCAGTCGGGTGTCGATCATAGCTAGAGACAACCGGACGTCTAGCCACGCTGAATAATGTACATAAAAAATGCGTATATATATATATATATATATATATATATATATATATATATATATATATATATGTGTGTGTGTGTGTGTGTGCGTGTGTGTGTGTGTGTGTGTGTGTGTGTGTTCAGATATGTGGAAAAATAGGAAAGAACACGTTAGGTAAATAATCCGGAGTTCTTTAGTATTTTTGTTTTTATTTAAAAAAAAAACAGTGCTCCATACAGAAGTAGAGATTAGATTATAATTATTTAAAAAAAAAAAAAATTATTAAAATTAAATTGAATTAAAGTATCAAGACCTGTTTCATCCTCAAGAGAAAATTTAGGAACCTAGATTTTCGTTTTGGGGATGAAACAGGGCTTGATACTTTGATTCAATTTAATTTTAATTATATTGAGGTTTTCGGCTCTCGTTTTTGAAACATGAGAACTCTTATGTAGCGAAAGAATCATATTTTTTTAAATAATTATATTATATTATATTATATATATATATATATATATATATATATAATATAATATAATTATATACATATATATATATATATATATATATATACACACATTTTACACACACACACACACACACACACATATATATATATACACACACATTTTACACACACACACACACACATATATATATATATATATATATATACACATTTTACACACACACACACATACACACACACATATATATATATATATATATATATATAAAAAATTAATTAATTAAATAATTAAGAAAGAGGCAACCTTCAGTTTCTATGAGTATAATTCATTTCCTCAGAAAAAATATTTTTCCTGTTTCATTAGGTCAGTTATTTCAGCCATCCAATTTCGTTTACTTGACTCGTGTCATGATTTTTCCGGCACTATTCAACGATTCCGCACGCTGGGACCGCCTTTATTATTTTGGGCTATTCAGTTAACATACTTAGTTTTACCATAACAATGGAATAGTTCATTAATAAGGAGGGGCGAACAACCTGTTAATATAATGCTTTTCATTTCTTTTGATTCGTTGTAGCTTTTTAAAAAAAATATTTTTTATGGTTAAAAAAAAGCAGCATTCTTTCTTACGTGTTAGAACAGAGTCAATTGTATCGATAAAAATAGTAAATGTCTCATGCTGAAAATATTATCAATATAGAGAGCTGCATAATTGCTTAAACATTGCTGTCATTTTTTTTACATTAAGGGTCGACTTGCTTTATTTTGTTACTTTTATTTTCAAGGATTTATAAATAAGAATTCGTTCTTAACAGCGTCAGTTGTAAAAACAGAAATCATTGATTCCTTGTGCAGAAAATATAACTGATGCATTTGTATAATTACTTAAATATGGCGGACATTTTTGTTGTCGGTAAAGATTAACCCGTATATATAAATACACAGATAGTGAGGAAGTTGACATATATATATATATATATATATATATATATATATATATATATATATATATAATCTAGAATTTAAATAAATTTAAATTTGCATTGCATCTAGATATTGGTTCAGTTGTAATACTTCGGTCTATCGCGTGGTATG